CTCGCGTGACATAACATCACGATTTCCGAGTCCTGCGAGACTCGGTGGTGTCAGATTCAGGTCTCCTGACGTGGTGTCAAAGAGACACCGACCCTACGGTCACACTAGTAATGATAAATTGTAAGAGTTTAGATCAGCTTTAAACCTAGATCTCTATTGCAATAGATTAATCTTTTATTAGACAACTATAAATGTGTATATCAATTTTAAAAAGGGTAATTCAAATTTAAGCCAAATATTGAAAATATTTTATTCTTAATTATAATAATGACACAATGACAAATGCTTCTTTCATTGACATCCAAAAAGCTTTTGATTCTATCTATGTCCCATTACTAGTACATAACCTAAAAGCCTGTGGTGCCAGCAATCGATTCTCATCTACTATATTAAAACTGTTCTCAAACTACAACATAAAGATTAAACAAGACAAGATTATCTCTCCATCACTTTCCTTCTCTCATGGTGTTCTTCAAGGTGATCCCCTCTTGCCATACTTGTTTAACTTCTATCTACTTGGTACTGATCAATTCTTCCTCAAATCTACTAATGATATTGAAATAAATAACAGAGTTTTTCACTACATTCTCTATGCAGATGACCTTGTTATTCTAGCTCCTACAAAAATCTCACTACAAAGGTAAATTAATCAGCTAAACCTTTACTTTAGTTTTAGCCGGATTTATTGCTAGGTGGATCGATTTAAAGTAAAGGTTTTATTGCTATTATTATTGGTAGGTGAATCAAGAACTAAATTATATCACAACAATATTCTTCTTCAAACTGTTAATGAAATAAATTATCTGGGAATCACCTTTGACTGGAATGTAACCTTTAAAGCACATATTTCTAAAATTAAGAACAAAGTAAAACAGGCTATTGATAACCTTTTATTTTCATGTTCCACCTTGAAAACTTCTGATATGAAAATTCATATGAAACTATATAATTCTATAATCAATCCAATTATTTTCTTTGCAAGTCCTATTTGGAGTCTGGATTATTTATATAAACTGGAGTCTTTTCACATTTATTTTCTGCATAAATTATTCCACTTAGAAAGAACAGTTCCTGACTATGCTCTACAACACAAAACAATCTGCATCTGGTCCTACCCTTTTTTGCTAAAACGAATAATTAAATTTTATTATAGACTCAAATTTAAAAGTGACAATAATATAACTTTCTTATATCATAAAAATATCAAACAGACGCAGTAACCTAAAATTCAAGCAGTTAAAAAGTAAACTACACCGATGTAAATCCAGTAAAATTTAATAAAATAATAATGTTTTCAACTGTTTTTCAACAATCAGTTACCAAAAATAGAATATTAAATATAGAACATAAAATGCATTCGAAATAAATATAAAAAAACCTTTACACAGCCAATGTTTCGATTCCAAACTGGTTTACGTAGGTGCGACGATGCGCGGTTAAAACAAAGGCTCAAGGAACACAAATGTACAATCAGTAGGAACCTTGATAACACTGCATTAGCATTGTATGCAAGGCAACAGGATGTTAATGTGGAATGGGATCAGGCAGCGATTATAAAAACAACGACTAATAGGCAAACAATCAAATATCTTGAGAGATTGGAAATCTATAAGGTGCACATGGGAACCGGTTGTATAAACCATAGAGATGCGGACTCATTGTCTACGGCATGGAGGTCCTTTTACAATTATTAATTTTTCACTATTTATTTTGTTTATTAATTTTTCTTTAATTCATCTGCTAGGATGTTTTCCGTTAATTTTTATTTTTTTATATTTATTTTGAATGCATTTTGTGTTCTATATTTAATATTCTATTTTTGGTAACTAAGGATGATCGTTAAAAAACAGTTGAAAACATTATTATTTTATTAAATTTTGCTGGATTTATATCAGTGTAGTTTATTTTTTAACTTATTCTAAATTCAAGCAGTTATGGCATTACAAGTTATTTAAAATTCTAAACTCATTTGGTATCTCAGAACTACTATTCAAAGACAATATCAAAGATTGGAAATACAGTTACACACTCTTATTGGACTCTGCTATATCGCAATCGTTAAATAAAGATCAACTCTCCTTAAGCCATAGTAAATACCATCCCTGGTGTATTGATATATTTCAAATTCCTTCTACCCAACCGTATATGTCACAATCAATTAATTTGAATGTAAAATGCTTAATAATCCAACTTTGCCTTAATAAATATTGTCTCTTTATAAATAACATCTACATTAATTTTTCAAATACCCAATGTGTCCTGTGCAATTCTGAAGACTTCTCACCATATCACTTATTATACAATTGTGAAGAACTTATAAACATGCGCAAACACCAAACTGAAATCATTACTTTTCTGGGATGCAAACCAGCTTTAGGTTGTGGCACTGGAGGATCACCTGGCTTACTCCAAGATCTCTTGCATTGAATATTGTTGTAAACGATCCATTTTTCATCACCTCTTATTAATCACTTTAAAAAGGGATCATCTTCATTGTGTTTTAAAAGTGAATCACATACAGAAACACGCTAAATAAGGTTTTGTTCACTTAACTTATGGGGAACCCTAACATCATAATGGGAAGTGTATCCAAGGCTAGCCAAATGTCTGACAACAGATGTTTGGGATGTTTTTAAGATGTCGGCTATCTCTCGTGTTGTTTTATGCTGATCATTTTGAATTAAAGCTGTTATGGACTCATCTTCTATGGTTGAAGGTTGTCCTGGCCGAGGTGCATCTTTGAGAGAAAAATCTCCCTCCCTGAATTTTGAAAACTATTTCTGGCATGTTCAGTCAGTAACTGCATCCTCCCCATATACAGCACATACCTTTTTTTGAGTTTTTGTTGCATTTTTTCCTTTTCGGAAATAATAGAGCATGAGATGTCGAAAATGCACCTTCTTATCTTCCATTTTAATGTTTTTTTTTCTTAAAAGTTAACAATATTTAAAAAAATAGCTGTAATTAAACTTATGTAATAAATATGCAGATATTCGTAATGTCAACCTAAACAAGTTAAAACTTGATAAGCACAACAGAGGCACCACAGACGAGCGATTATGTAAATACCCGAACGAACTTTTGGTTCAACCCAATAGTTTTGTACAAGTGTTGTGTCACTTCTAATCAATATTGATTTTTTATAATTAAGTAGACTATGTTTGAATAAATATTGTTCATTTAATTGATTGCCTTTTAATTTTATTTTAACCATTAACATACTTAAATCAGGCCTGGCCACATTAAATTGTGTGGCCCGCTAAGCGATATTATATAGCTATTAAAACATTCGTTTTCGGTTTTGTGTATACCAAAAGAATTAAATGAATGAAAATTTGCATATGTCATTGTTATAATGTGCAATGCGAGTACGAACTCTTGGTATAACAATGAAATCTTATTCATTTTGTATTTGTTTTATTTTTTTAAAAGTATGTTTACCTAAATTGTGGCCCATTGTAATGTTACGCGTGATCAAAGTGGCCAACAAAAAAATTTGGGTTGGCCAGGCCTGACTTAAATAATAATTCTAAATCAGTTCGGCCTAGGTCAAACTAGTTAAGCCTAAAGTATTTAGGCCAAACTAGATTATCCTAGGCTAAACTAGTATATCCTGACACACGTAGGACAAACTAGTTTGGCCTGAAATTGGGTTTGGTCTGTAACATATATATGAAAATAACTATTATTATTTGGGAAACATCAAAATAGATTGTTTAAATGACAAATAAGTTTTAATCAACAAAATTATTGATATTTATAACTCAATATCACGAGTTAATGAGCAATTTTAACTCCATAATCACCAAGGAATTAGACTCCTTATACTATGATTGAACTCAGTTTTTGTATAACACTCAATCGTCTAAAGATAAAGGTGATTACTTAAGGAAATTAAATCTTTTAAATCTGTGTTAGAAAGACAATATTACATATTACATAAAAGATTCATAAATGATCATCTCATTGAATTTATTTATATTTCTAAAAATGGTGACAATATTACTGATTTATTCATTTGTTTTAAAATTCTAGTTGAAGTAAGTTGTGATGCCAATCTGCCATGTTATCAGGCTATAATAAGTCTAATTTAATAATTAAATATAAAGTAATTTGACTAGAGGCAGACAGTTAAGCTGTCATCTCATAATAATTTTAATAATTATAACTCATTAATTTATAATTTAGAATTAAAAATCGGGTTTATTGATTTGTTATTTATTGTTTTGGAAACTGGCTTATATAAGCCAGTTTCCAAAACAATAATTAATGGAAAATGATTAGGTATATATATAACTAATCATTTTCTTGCAATATTATTTTTCAGCTATCTCAGTTGAATGAGTCAAAACCTTTAAAGTTACAAAACACAAAGGAAACCCTGGAATTCACTTTAGTGTAGTTGCTAAACATAACATCAATACAATTTCTTTCTAGTCACTAATTACCTGTCAAACATTTATTATATGGTATAAACCAAAATATACACATTTACATCAATTCCCAATTAAGAAAAACTTTTTAAGTCTGAGTTCAGCAAAAAAATCTTTTCAGTGTCAGATACAGTATATCAATATCATCATCTTTGTATATATCATCTCAGAAGGAGCCATCAAAAGTTCATGTATCATTAGCAGATCCTCACAGCTTACCTTTGAAGACCTCAGTACAGACTAGTATTTCAAAATAGCTGAGCTGAACTTTGTTGAACTTTAATAATGGTTTTGCATTTTTTTAGTTCTTGCAATGATATTTAGATTTAAAATAATATGAAAACATATATAAAGCCAGACAAACTGCCAAATTATTGGGCTACAATTAGGTTAAGTTAATTAGATATGAAGTAAATTTTGTATCTAATTATTAACTTAACCTAATTATAACTCACTAATTCAGCAGATTGTCTGACTTTATTGAATTGTTGTTTATATACATCAACTAATATGTATTCTTATAAACTATAATGAAGTCAATAATTAAAAATTTTACAGATAATTTACCTTATAAAGCTGTGTAATTTTATTGTCAACCTTATCAAAGGCACTCTTATCTAATTTACGTTGTAATTCATTTAAATGATGTTGATTATCTGCTTCTTTTACAGCCTGATTAACATGAGCTAATATTCTTTTACTACAGTCAACAGCATAAAGTAAGTTGGTATATTCCACTGCATTTGCTGTTAAAAACGTAATTAAAATATTTTATAATATAAATAATTCAATATAAAAATACATAAGTGACATATAAATCAAGTAAGTATCAAGTTATAAGTAATGTGGCATTTTGTTTACCTTTGAAAATAATAAATAAAACAATTTTTAATCAATAACTTATTTTAACAGGTATTTAGAACTTGTTTCTATTAATCTGCTGAATTATTTTCAATACTGTCTATCAAGGTCATGACTAAAGCATTTGGCACCAGGTGCAGACTTAAATATTGTGCCTGTTTGGATAAGCTTTTCATTAGCATGTTACTAATTTAAAAATTATTAAAAGCACTTTTTAGTAATACAGTACAGCATCAATTATCCGACCCCGTTCTAGATGACAAATTCAAATGTCCACTAGTGATGTGGTGCTACAATATTTGGCTATGTCTTGGCTACTTTAATAGTACTTTTATGTGTTTTAGCTGACAACACTAGCTTGACCATGAAAGGGAGCCAGTATTTAAACGAGGCTTAATTTTCTAATTTTTAACAATACAATAGCGACGGTTATTATTTTAAAAAAATTTTTGTTAGGCTTAACATCGATGAAAATTCAACGTGAAGTAGGTCAATAGCGATATACTAATATACTAATTACATGAGATATACTAATATACTATACAGTAATACCCCAAATTTATGCGATAAGTGGAAATGAGCGGTAACCGCGTAAGTCGAATTCGCTAAGTCGGGGTATAATTTCGCATATAAATACATACAAATAATTTTTAATTGGGGCCAGAGACTAAAGAAAACAATAATTTAAAAAAAAATGTTTAATAAAATCTTAGATAATACATATGTATAACAAATTAGGCCTATATTATTTTACAATTTTTCACATTTACTTGATTATTAAGCCATAATTTTAACATTATTTCCATCTCAGTGATAATACTGTGACGTTTACGAATGAAGCTTGAATTTAAAGATTGAGCATTTTTCACAGCTTCGAGAATTTTTTCTTTGCCTTTTATAATTGTTCTGACCGACAATTCCGGTAGATCAAACTTCTTTGCCAATTCACAAATTTTCATTTTTGTAATCGAAGTCTTTAATAATGGATATGTTCGTAAAGTCAAACGAGTTAAACGCGTTAGTAACGAATCGTTCGAAAAGTCTAACGAAATAGGAATAACGATGACTTCATTCTCGCTTAACTCGTTCGACTTTACGAACATACCAAATGTTAACTTTACATTCCAAAGATAAAGTTTTTCTTTTCTTGTTTGATGCAGAAGAATTAGTTCTACTTTGTTTGGATGACATAGTAGAGTCTCTCGAGTCTCCGTAGATATAACAAACACAGAAATAAATAACACAAAATAAATTGTAGCTATGTGTTGATTCCGCACGACACATCCGAACATGTAAGCTGAACAATAGTGTGGAGGGAGTGAGTAATCAAGGGTTGCGTGGCGCTCAAACAAAAGACGAATCAACGAGATTTGAAAATTGCGTAACTCCAGGTTCGCGTAAGTCGGGGTATTACTGTACTAATAATGTATTTTTTTATATTTTTCAGTTATCCAACCAACCCCAGTCCCCAAGTGAGTCGGATAATCGATGCTCTACTGTATAATTTATCATACTTGTATGCAACAGTTTTCTATGAATTTATTAGTTTGCCAATGTAGCAATTTTTGAATTTTGGCACCCCTAACCTCAGCATCTTGAAAACGTGTCCACTGTCCCTACCTTTCCATGGTCCTGCTGTCCACAAAACTCAAGTGTTTTAGTTCTGATTCAATTCAATTAAATCTGTTGTGACTTTAGACTGCTTTATATTATCCATATGTAAGATGAAAAGAGTAGATAAGCTAAAGGTTTGGCTGAAAAAAAAAATCCTTTCTCAGCCAAACTTTACATTGCTCTTAAGGTCTGTAGGGCAGTATGTGGCCTAGCATTGTCTTTGATGGAAAATAATACATATTCTATTGGTCAAAGATTGTTTTTCTTCCAAAGCTAACTTCAGTCAATTCAATTCAACTGTTTTTAGTATATCTATGTAGTAATCATTTGGGTTGAAATGCCAACTCAAAGCGTATCCCTTTTCTCATATCTTACCAAGATATAATTCTTGTCTTGGCTTGGCTGAACCTCTTCCCTGGAACTAAGTCATTGTCTATGATGTTTGACAATAGTGGGATACTTTTTAGAGCTTTTTAGAATCATTTAGCTGAAACATACATGAATAGCATGCACAGAATATATCAGAACTGCTTTAACTGAATAAAATGCCAGAATTTTACAGACATGATATTGAAAATTTAGCAGATTAATGAAAATCCACAGAAACCGATGAAAAATATGTAACTGATTAAAAGTTATTATTAAGTTGTTTTATTTATTATTTTTGAAAGTACAGAAAAACTGTATTATTTATAGGATTATTTGATATTTAAACTTATAAATTAAATAATGGACAGTATTTGAATAAAACATAATTAATTTTAGTAATTTCCAGAATAAAATTTCAATTTCTCAATGCATATTTGAAAATAATTTATTTCACAAAAATCATATCAAAATATAACATGATAACACGTTAATAATTCACCATATGGTATATCAATAAATAATGATACTTTAATATAATTGCATAATCATATATTGTTATTAAAAATTAGTTGTAAAGAATTATAATTAGTTTCAGTTGTAATTCTTTACAACTGATACAATTGTATCAATCAAATTTTCATTCAATTATGTAAATAAACTATACATTTTCGTTATTGATATTTTTATTATTGTTAATTTTATATTAAAATGATTATAATAGCTAAACAAAAAATTACTAAAATTAAGATTTTGTTTTAAATAATATTTTTATACCACATATAAAGTAATTTTGATTAAAAAAAAGAAGACAATTTATTACCTGGAGTGTATTTTGCAACATTCTCTAATAATAAAGGATATTTTGTTAAACGTTGAAACCCTGTTGCTATAATATCTTTTAACTGTAATCTTCTGCAGATATATTGAGCTTCAGCATCCTATTATTAATAGAAAGATAAAATATATTTTAAAAAATGTTTCTTAATTTTCTAATTACTAATAATAATAATTTATTTCAATATAATATTCAAAATTATTAATTCAAATTATTACAAAATAATTAAAATCTCAAGTTTAATGTAAATGTAATCATCATATTTTGCAATCCATAGTAAGAGATTGCACCCTATATATTTTCTGGAAAAGCAACTTTTTTATCTACAGTCGACCCCCCTATAAGATATAGATACGTTCCAATTTATTAGGAATCCGATTTCTTACAAGTCGTTCCAATCACAGCCCGACACGTGTCAAGTTTACGGACTACGGCTGATTGAAAGGTTTTCTTCCATAAAATTAATCGATTCTACACTAATCCGACTCAACATTTCCAAAATACGTATATTTTTTCGTAGTTTTATAGGAATCGTAATTATAGGG